GATAACAGTAATAGTCCATGGGCCGAGACCGTTTTTTGTACCACCAAGACGGACCAGTGCTACCATAGATTTTTTTAATCTGCAATAACCAAAGTTTATTTTGATGTATGATAGCAAGTCTGTATGAGTAGCTTTCTTGGTGTAATCACGTGACCAAGTGACGTCATCCAAAATCGGACTCGTGCCTTGGGACGAAATCCAAAGGGCCGGGAAAAAAATATCAAACATCAATAATTCTCGGCGAAAATTGGTTTGTAGACAAAACATGCCACAGTAATCACAACACAATAGATTTTTTGCCGATATTCTGCATTTTTAGGAAGTTATACGCCTTTAAACTCCGATTTTGAGGGTAATTTTTCGAGTAAAAACACATTGTTTACTTTCCAAAATCAGGCATTTATTCAGGCTACCTATGGGGCCTTGTGTAACAAGTTATGATGATTGGCCATATTATGCGCTGCATTTTGGGCTTTAAATCAACAAAATCGGTCAATGCTATCTGTAGTTACGAGTATTTAAAGCATTGCACCCCATTAGGCTGATTATCAAATCGGCGTGAATATCGCAATGCATCATGGGTAATTTGAAGACAGTGAGACTAACAAAATACGTCCTGTGCCCTGGCATTAAACCCAATTGACCTGAAATTTGGTATGGGCGTGCCTTGGACATCTACCCATAGGACGTTGTTAACGTTTATGTCATTAACAACGTGAAATGACTTATTTTTGTACTTTTCAGCTACTTTCCGACCACAAATGGTTAATTTGGGCTACTATTTCCTGGCATTGAAACTAAATAACGTGAAATTGTGTATGGGTTCCTTACAACATATGCCCACAGGAGATTATTAACAATTTTGGTATAAACCATTTGGCAATTACTTGTTTTGGGTTTTTTTTCATTTAGGACCAAAAACGAACCCACAAATGAATGGTAATGTGTCATTCGGGAACCTGACACTGTTTGCCAGGATGGAGAGTGTGGTCTCCTGTCGGCAGTGTATGCAAGAGGAGACCCTTTTTGATTTCATTGTTGCCAACATACGCGTGTATATATGCTACAAAAATGTTGCTAAATATATCTGATCGAACAACTCTTACATGTACATCATCCAAGCTTACACTTAATAATATATCTAATCGTCGTCATCAGTATCACTGGTCATGGTTTCATTGTCCAGCATTTCCTCGTCCTCCTCATCGTCCCTGTTACTACAGTCTTTCACTTTACACATGTCCGTACACTTCAGGCCATTGGCAAGGCAGGTGCATGTAGGGAGGGTGCATGCCCGGGAACATGTACACATCAGAAACTCCATCACCGCCGCCGGCGCAGGTGGTGACTGCAGCCACTTTATGGCGAGGTTACCATCCTCGTCGATTTTCCACCCTGACTGTGTTGGGCTTGGCACATTGGGATCATTCATCAGACATCTTCTCCAAATGCAAGCTTGGTAATTTGCCCGTTGAAGATGCAGATATAGGCTGTCTCGACACGGCGGTAGTTGACTCGACTCGATGTTTCCTCTTTTGGATATGAAGAGATGGTATCTCATTTCATTACTTTGGAGACAGTGGTGCGTGGCACATACATTTGACACGTAAAACATTCGATCTTACTGAAGAGCTCATCATTGGGGACCCAGCTCTCTCCCAGCTGACTGAATATGCGTTGGGTGTCCTTACTTTTCAGCAACGA